GTTCATCATCCACACGGAATCAGTTTCCCTCAGGTCCAAGCCTCGACCCCTGCAGTGTTTGATCCTCGGAAGGAGAACTACAACCCGCTCGCAAGCTGTCCTGGTAGTCCAAATTGGCTCCATGGCCTGAGTCGAGCGCGGTCGTGCATCCATGCAGCACTGTGCCTCTCCTTATTGCTCCCGGCGAACCTTGCTCTATGCAACTTGTATCGCCAGTGCGTGGTGTACGTCTCCTGTGAATCGCAATGCTCAAACTCCTTTGCTGTATGGCTCAACTCGATATTCGTGGATTGGTCGTCTCCTGCCCGGAGGTCACACGCGAACATGCACAACATGCAGTTATGCATTTGCCATACTCACACAACAGTAAAGGTTCACGGCTCTGGCTTTAGAAGGACCGTTCCGGTGGAGGCGGCCCAAACAGAAAAAGGTACAAAGGTGAGATAAAGCTGGAACCAGGTGAGGGTGAAGACCAGGCACAGGCCACGTGACTCGGATTTTCCTGCACTCCCACCCCTGCCCACCAGCCGGAAGGCGAAAAAATTAAAAAAAGGTGTCGAAAAAGGTGTAGAAAAGGTGTAAAAAGGTAAAAAAGGTGCAACAGCGGTGTAAAGCCGTGACAAAAAGGTAAAACAAAGGTAAAGGCCACGCAAAGGACAGGTGTGTGGGAAATCCCGGATCACCCGGCCTGCACGTGGCATTTACCTTTGCTTTTTTGCACCTTGTTTTTCACATTTTTTTTAAACAGCTGTTTCACACCTGTTTTTTCGCGTCTTGTAAGCGAAAGCGATAGGGACGTGTGCCCGCCAGCCCCCCGTGGGTGGGTTGGCGTGGGAGTGCAGGAAAATCCGAGTCACATGGCCTGTGCCTGGTCTTCACCTTTTTGACACCTTTTCTTTACCTTTTTGTTTCACCTGGATCCAGCTTTATTTCACCTTTTGTTTGTTTTTTTTCTACCTTTTCTTTTCTTCACCTTGCAACTGCACGATTATTTTACCTTATATTTACCTATATTTTACCCTATTCAAACTGACATCTGGATTTGTCTCGATGGAGCAGACCTTCTAACTCTGGCGTTTATGGGTGATTGTGTTGCAATGAGGCTCCTGGTCTCCTTATGCTATGGCATGGTAGGACATGGCTCAGAATCCATCGTCAACTCGCACAGTCGGAATTGCAGAAATCTCCTGACCCAGTGTCTTCACATTAGAGCATTGATTTTGGCTCTTACATTAAGGATTTTGGCTTCAGGGTTAAGCGCTGGGACCAGCAAGCTTCCATCACAGCCTCTCGAGCCTGGCCCACTGATTTGCAACATGTTCCTGGTGTTGTGCATCCTGAACGTCCAGGGAAAAAGGAGCGAAATTCATTCGTGCATCGAGGTTTGTGTCTTTTGCGCTCTTCAGGTCCCCCGTAGATGCTTCGCCCAACCGTCCAACAACGCCTTGTGTAAAAACGGCTGCCAAGTGGCTCAGAAGCAGGTACACCATTTCTAGCTGGGACTCGTAGAAGGCAATGCACAAGGGCGTCGTCCCACTCGTGTTCCTTCAACATCGGTGGACGAGATTCATCGCAACCACAATCTCCGAAAACCTCACTCTCGGGCGTCTGAGTACCTCTTGGCCGACTCCTGGCCTTCACATGTGACTCACAACTAATCACTTCCACACAACCCAGAACCTCCCATACTGCGGAATTGTAAGCTCTCCAACTACCACAATCTTGCTGTGATGACGATAACTGAAGGAAGACCAACTTGTGTTGAATCTCAAGCTCTATGCCCAAGGAACGCAGTAACCACCTGCTACATATCTGACTTTCAACACCGAATAGACACCCCTGGTGTAGCAAGACTGAGATTCACTGCGTTGACATCGCAGCCGTTCTCAATGAACCACGTGGCGGTTTCGAGGTTCCTCAGATGGTGAAAGCTTTAAATTGCGTGGTGAGGTTGTTCTCGTGCAGGAAATGTTTGGACTGTTATCTCAGGGCGCCAATTCTCTTCGGCTTCAGGTCTCTCGCGCTCCAATGAAACTCATGGGCCACAGTCGGGGCTGCCTCGAGCCTGGCGCGTGGAGGCTTTGGGCTTGCCGAGGCTCTCGGCACGGACCGCCTCGAAGAGCGCGGTCTCGTTCCTAAGCTGGGGAACATGGGAATTGTTAAGGCAGTCTGCAGGTGCTGACTTCCAAGCAGCCCCAGTCCTCTGACCTGACTATACCTGTTGCTGCCGTGGTATTCGCGTCGCTGATCGCAAGATCATGCTAGCAGCCTCCTAGTCAGGCCCAGGCTCCGAGGCGCGTAGGGGAAGTACGTCTGGGTTTGGGAGCTCCAGTCTTACGAGGCTGGACTTGAATGGCAGCTATCGGGAGGTTCTGATGTTGCAGATGCTCCTGAAAGTAACCAGTAGGCTGAGGTGCATTCTAGTTAGCACATGATATTGGCCCACAATTCTCATGCAAGAGCCTGAGAACAATTCAAGGCTCAGTGTTTGGGTTTCAGGGCTGCCTGCACTGCCATGAACTTTGAACTCCCCGATCCTACTTGCTCCAGTCTCCTTGACAAGCACTTAGCTTGACATCCGACATCCCATACATAAGACTGAACGAAGCTCTGATGGCCTACTCCATTTCCTCACACGGCTGCATCTACTTGGAATGGCAGAGAAACCTTTAGGATTGAACTATTGAACCAACACCCAAGGATTAGGATGTGCAAGAGAAGCCGGAAGTCGTCAAAATTCTGCGAAGGCACCTGGACGTTTTATGGGTAGCACTCAGCCCACGTGAACGGAGCAGCTTGCACAAGTCCACTCCATAGCCCTTACTCGCGGGCCGACCTGAGATTTGGGCACAGTGGTCTTGATGATGGATGCTGTCTTTGTTTACTTCTTGTTGTTTTCACTACTGTTGATGGTACCTTTTGCGGTATCTTTCAAACGCATCTGGACGGGTGCAATGCGTGTTCAGACGCTGGCGGTGACGTAACCACCGTACCTTTTACAGCATCCAACATGCATCTGAGTTGGGACGGCAAGGGCAAAGGTCGCTTCACAGAGCGATGCAAAGCCTTTCTCTGAAGCAAGAAAACAGCATCTGAGTCGGTGAGAGCTTCGTCGGACTTGGACTCCATGAAGCTAAGCTTCTCTCATCTGTGTTCATGCTCTGTCAGTTGGCGTTGCGTAGCATCCCCAATCCCAATCCTTGAGTCCCCTAGCGAATCACCATTTGCTTTGCTACTTGCAACATGTACCACATTGGGCTTGATGAGGTTAAGGGATGCTGCTTTCTGGTCACTGATGTCTGCTTCTAGGGAGCCGAAGAATGAAACCTAAGGCATCGCACCATGAGGATTTAAGTAAGGCTTTTTGGAACATTTAAAGCTTTGAGATGCAGCGAACGTGTGTTTCGGATGTAGGCTCAGACTTTAGATTTCGGCTGTTCCGATGTTCCGAAGGTCGGTTTAAGGGTAGAAAACAGATGCAACGGTCCGACATCTAGCAATCTGCAGGCTTCACGCACCAGGTTGCAGCTGGCCAGCTTGGATGTTTGGTTTAAGCTGTTGCGACCATGCGACCAGCAGCCGCAAATAGCAGCGTTTGTCCATCTGCTGTCTTTTCCTGGGCACTGGATGGGTGGATGCAACACCTTCGAGCTCAATACAAACCCAGCTGCTAAGCCCCTGCTTCAGCACTGTACCCACTGCAGCCCGGTGCCACCCAAACATCACACATCAGCAAACTGCTGACAGGTGTCTCGAATGTCGGCCTCGTTGACGAGCCTAATGGCCGTCGGCCGTGCTGCGGAGCGCAGCTTCGCGAAGTTGTCCTGGAGGTTTCGCTGCATCTCACTTACAGAACAAAGCCTTTCCAACACAATTCGAACAAGGTCCATCTGCATCGCGAGAAGTGTGGCGGTTGATGTAAGAACCCCTTGCTCCAGTTGCAATGTATGGTCCAGCGCTTATCTGTGTGTGTTTCACCACGTCTCGGGCTTGAACTTTCATGGGGACCGAGCCTTGGAGGCTTTACTGCTTGGTTCTTTTTTGAGGTTTGGGGAACAGGCCGTCGGTGCACACGTCCGATTGTTCCAGGTGTCGGGTCAACTTTGGGTTCTATTCATGGGCTTTGGGCTGTTGTTTTATTCGGTCCAGATGTGGCGGAAGGATGCTGGCAGCCCTCAGCTGCAAAACGACACCAGCTCTCAAATTCAAGACATCCAACCTGCGGGATGACTTCTAAGCACTGTGCAAGGCCAAGAAGCAACCTCGCACAGCGAGCCCAATTTTGATCAATTTCCGACACCGCAGGACTGGGTCCTGCAGCGCCGTCTTGGCGGGTGCCATTGCCAATGGCCATCCACCACGATGCCCCCGGGCCAACAGCTGCGAGTTGTGAGTGATGCACCCAACCTGGAAGCCTAAAACGTGAATACTTTGGACTTGCTTCAAAAAATACCAGGTGAAACCTTAAGGCTGTTTCATGTGCCTCTCACTCTCCTTCGCTTCATTTTTGCCTCTCTCTGGCTCTCTTCCCGTGTGCCATGCTAAATCTCTTTATCCTTCCTCCGTTCCGGACTCACCGTACTCACTCCGCCGTCGCACATGCTGACAACATGTTCGAACGTTATTTGTACTTGATGTTAGTATCGTCGTCGTCGTTGTTGCTGCGGCTGCTGCTGCGTCCTTCAATGAAGAGGACGCATGAATCATGCATGCGCAAACCTTTTAAGGCAGTCTGAAAAAACTACGACATTGTACGCGACAATCATGACTACCAGGTTTGTCCGGTCGCGTGCGCGTGTGTGTGTGTGTGTGCTACGGCGATTCAGGGTGCTTGAGGCACACAACCCAGTCACATTCGGAATGATGCCAAGAAACAACTGACACGATAGGCTAGTTGGTCAGGACGAACCGGTACATTCTCGATTTAGACCATCCGGAAGCCCCTGTCACGCAAACTAGCGCAGACGCCATAGTGCGAACTGCCCCACTGCAAGACCCTCCTCCTCAGTGTCATTACGCTTCCGATCCTTCTCTTCGACCACCTGGCGCAGAGCATCTGGCAGCTTGAGATGCTCAAGGACTGTGAACTGATGCTCTCTCAGCAACGAAGAGGTGAGTAAGGATTTGGAGCATGAGAGAAGCTCATGATATCTCTCCCCTATTCTCCCGAACGCCGACTGCACGCGCTGAGCAGCCTGATGGTGTAGCAACTCGCCCGGAAAGCTGCCACAGCAGTGGGGCAACCATGCGACGTCCGAAACTCCCTGGCTCTTCGGATTTCATGTTCTTCTCGAGCTTTGCCGGAAAGTATCAAATTTACCAGAGGCTGAATCATAAGGTTGGGCTGATGGGGCTACGACGTATGACTGCAATCAGTTGGCAGCCTGAGCTGTTGATGTTCGGCATTCTGCACGGTTCAGTTTTCCATCAAGCTTTGCCTTCGGGCTGCCAGGTTCAAACCCAGAACCCGGAAAGCCATGTTGAACCTGCAGGTTGCAGGCTGCAGAAACCCTCCCTGCCGTTCCTGTCGGGGTAGTGGAGGCGTCAAGCGATCGGCCGCAAACTTCTGGACCATGGCCTGTCTATGGATTTAACGGCCGGAAAGTTGCAAGTTTCAGGAGTTCAGGATGCAGAGTGTAGCAGTTACTGTAGACCCCGGTGTCTTAGATGTTCACGGTTTCGGTTGTTTAAGTTTCATAGCTTACCTGCGCCCCGCAGCGCACCTTGACATCAATGTGCGTTCTCACATTCAGGTTTCTCCGGATTGCCTTTCCACGCAGAATTTTCAGAATTTTGCTCTGCATCATGCTGCTTCTTCGGTTCTCCGTAGACAAAACTGGTGCTTGCAAAGGCTCTTGTGCGCAGCAATATCACCGTAGTGGCAATGAAAACGAAAAGAACTGAAAGACGGCTGAACGTAACAGTCGTGACAACGACAAGAATACACCGCAAAGTACAAAGCATTATCAGCATACTCGCTGCATTGAAGATCCAACTAACAATGATGCTGCTTGTGTATATGCCCTCAAGCCTACGCAGTTCCAGCAGCAATAGCTCAATTACATATTCACGTGCCTTGTTGAACGCAAGGGTGCTCTCAACCAACAGCTGCTGAGAGCTTAGGAGGTCGTCCCAGCTTCCTGATTTCAGGCTTTGGTATGCAGCTCGGGCTTACAAGCTGAGGCTAGGGACGGGGTCACGGTTGCGGTTGCGGCTTTCGTGGGCTTGGGCTGAAGAGAGGGTTGGGAGCTGGCATTCTGGCTCGGGTATCTGGAAGCGTGTCCTAGTCGAAGATGGACGACCATCCATGATTCCAGCACTAAACAAGCGAATCGAAGGCCTGTCCAGGATCTGCACTTCGGGAGAACAGAGAAATTTCTCATGTGACACCCGGCTTGCGTTGAAGCCGAGATCGCTCGGTTATCAAGAAAATGGACTTTGTTGTCCTTATGGCTTGGTTCTCAGAAGGGATTCGAATGTCCGGAATTCTGAACGTTCTCCAAGCATCTGCTGACCAAGATGTGGTCATCTGCAGTGGGGCGGCTGGGGGCTGTGGTCGCCATCGCTGGCAAACCCTGCATTCCTATTCCAACTCCAGGTTTCATGATGCTGTGTTCGACTTCGACACCGAAGCGAGCTAATTCTTTCAAAGCCCATGCTGTAGTGACTGCTTGGCATCTTGTCTTGCGGTGCGGGCGCAGGGTAGACTTCCATGGTTCAAGGAGTGCTTGGATTGCTCGTACTCCCGAACCCGGAAAGAAGTAGCCTGCGTGACTGTCCTCTTTCCTCGACATCAGACTACAAGGCAAATGCTAGCCGCTGCTGAGCATATCCGATGGCACGGCTGGGCGATGCTGAAGGAATGCGCCCGGCAGCGGTTGCTGTTAGCCAACAGCGCCTGGTTCTTGATGGTCTAACTACGCTGCAGGTTGCGCTGTCTTGCTGATCTGGTCATTGGTGCAGACTTGGTGTCAAAGCTTGGAAACCTGGCTCCTGTAAGCCATTGCAAGGATATGTATGGGTTTACATGGTAAGAGACTGCCCTGCCTGGCAGCGAGCCCAGCAGAGTGCGCCCACGGCTCACTGCGCAGAGACGTGGCTCGCAGCAAAGAGAAGGCTTGTGGAAACGGACTTGAGCCCAACTTGGGTCTGTTTCGGCGATGCTTAGGATTTCGTCTTCCTAGTCTTAGCTCTGGCCTGAAACTAGGCTGCATGGTGCAGCTTTGAGCATTGGCATCCTTGAGCAGCAAAGGTGCACACCGGGACATGTTCCGAATGCAGTTCAGGCTGCAAAAGTTGAAAATCCAAAACTTGAGCCCTGAGGTCGATGGTAAAGCTGCTGCAGTGAGCACATGGACGCTTGTAAGGATGCTTAATGACGTTTAACGATCTCCCCATTGACGTCTGCCTGCGCACCCTATACCTGTCTTGTACATTTCGCATGATTTTGTGTGAACCAGTATCTACAGTATATGAGAAGACGTGTCTTTAAAGATTGAGAACACATAAATAAAACATATGCACGACCGTAGGTATGCACCTTTGCCAGCCAGGATTCATGCAATGCGCAATGCAGTATACACTGCGTGAGTGAGCAATATCACAATTCACGAAAGGCAAACCACAAATACCAGAACAAAAGGACATACTATACACAAATCCATGTGTGCTCCGAGCCTTGGTCGTCGTCGCACCTGGCCGGCTACCTCGGTGCAGGCGCGCTGGTTGGAAGCGGCACCGGCAAGAAAATCTTGCATCCTACATCCTGAAGTCAGCAGTAAAGGCCCCAAGACCTGCAAGGTAGTTTAGCTTAAACCCCAGATTCCCCCCCGAATCCGGAAGTCCGGCCACACAGCAAGCAGCCTGTCCGACGAACCGGCGTAAATCGACAGTTGCATGATGGTCCATGCAGGGATCACGCTTCCGACGACGGGGGATCTAAGCTGTGGAAAGCTTCCACAGTCTGAGAAGACTGACAGGTCCGAATGTCGGACCCTCTCTCCGAGACATACACGACAATGGCCCGCTCAAAACGGCCGCTCCCAGAGTTTTGAGCTTCGCCCTGGGGATGGCCAGTGCCAGTATCTGGTTGTCTCAGGAGATGCGTTGAGTGAGCGGCCAAGAACCAGCAGCTTTGCGGTGGCTTTTCAAGTCATGTGCTCCTCTGTTTGATATGGAGCCACGAACTCGAACCCTTGTGGGCCGCTGTGAAGTCTCGCACATCCTAGGCCCTTAGCTTGTGCTGCATGCCAGGACCCTGCCACGACACATGGACACGCCTCGATATGCGGAAGCCTCCCGTAACATGCCACAGTCGAGGACTTCCACGACCCAACCCTTCACGACCACGGGCCGGAGACATAGGTTCGAAAAAGTTGCTACCTACTGCGTTTTGAAAAGTCTGGCGAAGCCGAATACGAGACTCGTGTATGGCATCCCGAGACGCCAAACAGGCTGTACCATGAAGCCCCTACCTCTCCCAATTCTGAACTCCCAAAAGCCCCCGTGCCCCTTCAAAGCAAGCCGGAGTGGAGTGCAAAGGAGCTGGCTTCCTCCGTTAGGAACATATGGAAAGGCTGCTCCCTGCGCGGCAGAGGATCTGAGACAAAGGCTTCAAAGACAATGCCGGTGCTACCAAACCAGGGAGGAGCCTCTAGAACGTGGTGCCTCGAACCAGTGCGCTCTTGCGGGCCCCCCCTGCATGCTTCCCTCCTGCGACTATCACCGTGCCCTCTCGCAGCTGACACATGGCCCAGAGAACTCTACGGGACTTTACCCTGACAGCGTCTACTGACTGAAAGTCTACGGCTTCGCAAGCTCCCACACGGTAGGATTTCAGTCAGGCTTTTGCACGCGGCTCCGGTTTCGTTTAAAATCATCTGCTGCCTCTTTCCCTGTTTGGGACGGTGGCGCAGACACTTGTGGTACACATTACTAGCTGCGAAAGCCTTGTGACATCTTTTGAGAACATCAGAAGCTTTCCGTCAGCAGTACCCTTGCGACGTATGCGATTCGGCAACACGTCGGTGGTTGCACGCCCAGGTCTTGTGCCGATGCGACGATGACCAGTGACGTGCTGGCCCAAGCGGAAGCACAGGGGTCTGCAGGGTGCAGATACTTGCAGCACAGAACTAGGCATCCTAGAATGTGGCCTGATTCTGATACATTGAGCTGTCGACCTCCACACTAGCTGTGTAAGCTGCAAGACCGAAGTTCTATAACCGCGTGTTCTCAGTCAATGAGGACCTGCACAGGTCTGTGGTAGGCCGGGTCTTTTTAGGGCCTTGCTTTTGAGTGGCATCGGCATCGCTCGGGCGACATTGAACCATCCTCGGTTCGGGGAGATGGTCTCATCCAAGGCAAGAGTTGCACAGGGTTCATTGGATATAAACACTTCGCGCGTGACGAAGCCTGAAATCGCTGGAAGATCGCTGCCGCTACTAGTTCCTTTCGGCCCAGAGCCTGGCCTGATCATGTCTGGAAGATGTAAACTGCTACTGGTAGCCATAAACACCAGCGCTGACACTCAAGCTAACCACGCTTTGGGGCACTCAAGGTTCAGGGCGCCTGAACTTCCGATTCTCCACATATTTACTTGGGAACCGAACAAATGGGCAAGTTGTCGACGTGTTGGCGTCACATACAGGCTGACATTCCTGCCCAGCGGGGAGGGAGGGAGGGAGGGAGGGAGGGAGGGAGAGGGAGGGAGGGAGCGACAGGGAGGGAGAGGGCGAGAGTTCAAGAAACATGTCCACTTGCACATACCAAGTTGTTGATTCATTTGTGTCCTGGCTGGCGGCTGGTGTGACAAGTCGAAGCTGTATGCATGTAGAATTGCATTTCCCGGCTTGAAACTTGTGTACCGTAACAAGCCAATCTTGGAGAGAAGCCCCTGCATAGCCCGGAGCGTCTAGTTGCCTCCACATCTGGCAGTCCGCGATTTCAAGCCACAGCCGATGAGTTCAGCAGGTAGTGATGCCCGCATCATGAACGAGCCGGAAAGTCCGACAGACATGGTCCACATGGTGATTCAGAAAAGCCCTTTCACCAGAAACAAGACCATGGCATCCAATGGCTGCTCTGGTTCATTGCGGACCACATCATCTGAGTTGTGCCGGCGAACCACAGCACACTATAGAAGGACTTGGGTGTCGCCCTGGTCCTTGCACGGTGGGGGCTTACTGAGGCTTCGAAGTTCAAAGGGGTAGTCAGGCGTACGGCAGTGTAGGGGTTCACAAGGACGTGCCCTGACGTATTCGCACCAGATTGCCTCTCTGCAAAATGGCGCTTGAAACGATGCCCGTGCTAAAAAAGCATGGGGTGTGGACTTACGGCATGGGCTTCGAGCCCTTGCAGCCGCGCGTGGCTTCACTGGCAGTTCTTCCAAAACGGTTTCTCGGTTCACATGTCCCCCAGCTGATCTGCAACCCTCGCACTGAGCTAAAGGCGGGCGCCCTTCACCATCGTTTTTCCGACTTGAATGCCAGCAAATGACATAAACGAAACAAACCACCAAATGTTGGAAGCAACACCACGAATGTTGGCCAGTCGTTTTCTGGGTTCGAAGCCTCGCAAATCGAGGAGCCCGCAGTGCGGCGCGGTGCTCCGAAGTAGCAACAGCAAGGACACCTTCCGGACCACAGGGCGGCCGGCTCTGCAATGCACCGAGAGCTAGAGCACTCTGAAGCTATGTAATAAAAGGATCTCTGTCCGGGAGTTCCTTGGAACCTAGTTTCAATTTAACCGGCCATGAAACCTGAACCATCTCGGGGTCTCGAGGTTTAGCACACTTCTTCGATGTGCGTAATCTTGCAACGAGTCAGGATAACTCTCCACAGCGTTGCCCAGCAGTGCACGATTCGATGACCAAGGATAAACACAAAAGAAAGGGGAGCACAACACAGCACCACCATTAGGACACCGTTGAGAACCCTACTTTTCAAGCCTCCGGAACAAACAACCAATCTTACAGCTGATTTCGGCCACTCAATCTGCACAGGTGAAGTTGCAGTTATTGATACTGAGGGCACAAGATTCGGGAAAAACGGCAAGGCGCTCCAAGGCAGCAGGGACGAGCCGCCCATCATCATGACGTGCATTCTAAACACTTGGAGGCTGTTGAAGAGCAAAGATTCCACAACTTGGGATTTGCAAGGGACTTCCCGCGAGCAACAATGAACATTGCCTGGCATTGGACCGTTGCTCTCAGCAACAGCCTGCATGCGTCCTACGCCGAGTGAACCCAGGCGCCGCTTGGTCGTGCGAGTGGATTTGGTCAAGAAGTAACTTCTAGCTGAATGGCTGATGGCCGTCAGTATGAACGATAAACAAGCATTACGGTTGCAGTGGCAGCAACAACAATCATAACAGTTGAGAGCGAGAAAAATACTGTGATAGCGTGGATAAGGCCTGCAAATTGCCCTGCACATTAGTTCTGCACCAGTTACATAGCGATAGGAGCAGGAGCAAAGCAACACAAGACTCATGAGATTAGAGCAGCGCCGCTCAGTGGCCTCTCTTGGGTTAGTACGCTGGGCCTCATCTCACCTACAGCTGCCGGTGCAGAAGTGACTGCAGAGTGGGGACACGCCAGTAGAAAATACTCAGACTGGGAATGAGTCTTTTGTCGTTCTTCCGGCCTGGCATCCCAAAGTTGCAAGTCTTCACTCCCGGAATACTAGTGGTTTATCTAAGCCTACAGCAGACGCCAATATCCACAGTCGCAGACAGCGCCCTAAAGTCAGGTTCCGGCTGTAATTCCAAAGTAAACGGTATTCACCAAAAGAATGGCTTCTGTGCTCCTGCATCATGCCACGACAGTTCAGCCCATAGACCGCATGCGGAAAGCAGACCCGACCCAGCAGAGGTTCGGAGCTTGTGACAACCTTAACCCAGCTACCAACATCTGCAGTCGCAGCAGAAGCCTGGCCAGCTCCCTGCAAAACGGTGGTCCCAAAGGCCCGACGGAAACAGAACTCTTGTTGGGGCCCTAGCAGACTGCCCTTCCTCAGGGACTTGGGAATCATGCTCCGGGCCCATACAGCTTCATCTCACGTGTCAGTCGGGACCCACCGAGAGCACTTCTGTACAGGCAGTTTTACACTTGGCCAACTCATTAGTTGTTGCAGCCGTCCCGGAAGCTCAAAACAAATCACCACGTTTCGGTTTCTAAGCTTTCAACCCACACAATGGGATATCCATCGACACAAGTGAGAGTAAGTAAGCTTTTCCATTAACTGGACTCTGAAAGAAGGTTGAGTGCAGCCTTATCAGTGTATAAAGCTGCTTGCTACGAACCATGACCAGACCAAAACCGTCGACTGTGGCTGTGACAGCGGGAGCTCCAACAAACCATGCAAGACTAAACAAGAAACAAACCACTGCCATGGACGCACGACGTGCCCGGCAGTGGTGCAGGCAGGGCCTGCCCAGCCTGCCCTCCCTCACCAGGAATGCACTTCTCGAGCAAACTCAAATAAACTCAAGCTACGCCTCCCCAACTCCCGACTTCCCCAGCATTTCGCATTGGCTCCACGACACAAGCATTGTGACATGCAGCCCAGGATGGAGCCAAGAGTCTACGTGAGACTGCGAACAGTATCGGTAGTGAGTTCCTGGGTCATTGTTCGAGACGAAGACCTTTTGGTGCTTCTTGCTTAGGAACTAAACCCTGGGGCAGACTTTTGGAGGGTTAAGCCCGGGTGCGACAGGATCCTGGAGAGGGCCGCTGCAGTGGAGCGTGAGCTTAACTGACATACGCAGACTCAGCGCCAACTGAAGGACAGCCAGAGCCCGTGTTGAGAGCGCGGGTTCGACGAAGCTTAGCGAAGCTCAGATCTGAGGACGCAGCTCTACACGAATATTGCCGAGGGTTCAAAGACCCAAATCCAAATCTCAAGATCTACATCTGAAATGCAAGGAAGTGAAAAGCTTGCAGGGCCCCTAACCTGTCCTCTAAAGGCTTCCATGGTTACAGGGACGATTCCTGTAATGTCGAGACGCGCGTTGGAGGCTAACCCAAGACAGTAGCGTCTGCCAGTGCTTGCACGCATGAATTCCTAGACAGATCGCGATGCACATACAAGGTATCATACATGCAATCTGTCTTTCATTCTTTCAGCCCTTTTTTCTCCTTCAGTCCTTGCTGCAATTTATTCCATTCTTTCATTCCATTCCTCTCATTCATTGCATGCATTGCACTCATTCCATACATTCATTCCATTCAACTCACCCGTTCCAACGATTTCACTCGTTTCTATCATGTCATTTGATTGTTTTATGTCATTCGTTTCATTTGTTCATTCACTCATTCATTCATTCATTCATTAATTCATTCATTCCATTCCTTCATGTCATTCCCTTTCATTCCATTCATTCATCCATTCGTTCATTCATTCATTCAATCATTCATTCATTCCCTCATTCGTGCGTTCGTTCATCCGTTCGTTCATTCATTGTGTGTTCAGCATGTCGCTCATTTCGTTCATTTCATTCTTGTTCATTCGCTTGATTTTCATTTCACTTGATTCCTTGTTTCATCTCAACTGCTTTCGCTTCCTTTCCTGTCGTTGTTCAACTTGTTGTAATTCATTTGCCCTTGTCATTTTTTGGATGACTTCATTCGTTTATCCATTCATTCGGTCACTCATTCACACATATTAATACACATGTATACATTCGTACATACATACATGTTTACTTATTCAAATGAGCATACACATGTACATAGCTATATACAGTTTATCTATGCACAAGGAAAATTTACACATACGCATGTAATATGTCCATGAATCCACGCTTGATTAGCTATTGACGTGCTTCGTGCGCTTGTGCTCAGTGAATAAATATCTAAGTCGCTTGGCAGGTGGGCCAGTAATAACTATAAATTTCGCATGGTGTGGTATTGTATGGATTATCCTAGGTTAGGGTTAGGCTAGCCCAAGTAAATATGTTATGCTTGCTTAAAACGTGGGCCTTCGAAGAGGCCACCCTTTTGCTCTGTCCGCTGGGCTCTCCAAATAGCTGGGTCTCAGAACCGCTTGAAACGTCTTGAAGTGTGAAGACGAAGCTGTACTGTGCGACTTTACACTGACATGCCGGAAGTTGTAAAGAGCCTTAGGTACCGCTCACAGACTTATGCGGAGTTTCTGTCAGACATGCCGCCTATGGCACTCGCACGAATCATATCAAGATCCCGGTCCAAGACTGCGAGCTGCATAAAGCCTGAACTTGATTCCGAAGCTGAGCTACGTCGACTGCAAGCCGGACCTGACTTGCCAGCGTTCATTCCGATATTGATATACTGCAGCTCGAAGAGATTGGTGAGGTTCAGGATACCCCACATGCTATGTCAGCTACTTGACATTGGGACAAGGACCCACAGGACATGGCAGTGGTGCAAGTGGACTGGATGGCACGAACAATCACCCCCAAGCCAGGTCATCCTGAGCTACCCCGGACCTTACAGTATGTAAAGCCTATAGCCGACAACGCATCTTGGAACCCGCGCTCCAAGGAAGCTAAAGTTTGCCATCGCCCTGTCCAAGACTGGTGGCGAGCACTTCAGCTAGTTGACGGTCAGGTGCACCTCGCGGCAGAGTGCACGTGAGCTGGAAGAAGCGGGGCTCAAAGTTTGGGGCTGCAGCTACAGGTTGTAAGAATGAAAAGCGGTGTTTTTTTTATGCCCTCCAGCCGGACTTGCATTCTGGAAACCATCTTCAAGTTGACAATTACTAAGGTTTGTAGATGTCGCGTCGTCGAGTCTCACGAAAGCTGCGGTCCTTCCTTGACTCCTTTTCTGAACCTTGACAAGAAGTCGCCTGGGACACCAAAGGTTGGTTACAAGGCCCAAAGATGAGTCTCCTTCATGGACCACGTCATGTATGACCAGACTCGGAGCAATTAATAGTTCAAAGCCCTTCCTGAAGTGGTACTGCCAAGAGCCCCGAGATCAGGGCGCGCAGAACCAAAAGACTTCTGCAACAAGTCGCGGTGGTAGGCTCCCGCACGGGCATGCACCCCAAGCCCGAAACTCTTACTCAAACCCTTAATACCCCAACGCTACCGTCCCAAGAGCCCCAAGCACCCGTGCTTCAAGCAGTGGTGGGGGTGCCAAGAACCGCTCCACTCGGGCCTTGCTCCTGGCCACATGGGCAGTTCATCACGGCACCCATCCGCAACGGGCAGCAGCTGCAGTAGTCGTGGTAGCGTCATTCTGGTCGTACTAGCAGCGGTAGCAGCAGCAGCATTCGTAGTCGCAGTAGTAACTATTAGTAGGAGTGTGGCAGCAGTATCAATGTCAGTAGCAGCAGTCATAGCAGCAGCAGTGGCAATAGCAGCAGTAAGCGTAGAAGCAGTGGTGGTGGTGGTGGTGGTGGTGGTGGTGGTGGTGGTGGCGGTGGCGGTGGCGGTGGTGGTGGCGGTGGTGGTGGCGGTGGCGGTGGCGGCGGTGGTGGTTGTCGCGGGGGTGGTGGTGGTAGTAGCGTGGTACTGGTAGTAGGAACATTAGAAACCGGGCCGAAGAACCTTCGCCGTGGTATGTCGTGGTTGTCGTCGTTGCTAGATGGTGCTGATGACTTGCATAACTAGTATTTGCAGGGACCTTGATGTACCGCGTGAGCTCGGGCATGTTTCGCCTCTAGAATTGTTACCTGCAGCTGTATGCATGCCGTGGGCCAAAAACCGACCACCGCCTTCCTTCTGGTTCCCTATACACGACCGGACATAAACGCCGAACCTGACCAACTGCCCGCGAGTGTCCTCCGTGCTAGGGGCCCAAAGCTCTTCCTGCTGCTTCTGCAGCTCGCTCATGTCCTACAGCCGACGCCCGAATGCGATGACTTACCATTCTGATTTGGGCTAGTGATTAGACTCTAGCCAGTGGTCATGGGTGGCTCTCGTATACTGTCAAGATGCATGCGTGTGATTGCATTTCAGTGCCATTTCCTCTGCATCCTCCTCAGCAAAAAGCCGACGAGGTATTGTGAGTGGTATTGCGCTAAGGGCTTACGGCTTCAGGATTACGTTTTTGAGGCTACTGGGGCTGCATCGGAAATCAGCCGGCGGGGCTTGGACATTATGCTTAGGCTTTCAGGCAACTCTCCACCAAGAAGAAGCAGACATTAAACAAAAGCCAGTGACCGCCGTGACCGCAACAAAACAACCTGACAAGGTCAGCTGCATCCGGATTCTGTGCGGTATTCTTTCACGGGTTGAGGGAACTCTGGTGTCCTTGCTCTGCAACTATGTGCGCACATCGCAGGCTCAGGGATGAAGACTCATTTCGTAACGGCAGCAAACAAACAAAAACGAATCAGAAAATCCATAACTTAGCAGCAGCAACAGGCACACGATACAATAACGGTCATGCTGTTGAGAGCAGCGGCCCTCGTAACCTCGATTGCGCAACACAAAACTCCAAGTGATCATCATCTCTCTAGCTGGTCTTGGTGATTTAGTATCTGTTGGGATTTGTAATGATAAGCAGCACCGACGCAGCAGCAGCAGCACCATCTAGCGTACTTGTCAAATGTTTTCCTCGCCTTTCCAGGAGATCCAGCTGAATGCTGGCCGGGCACCCGCTCGGAAATCTCTGCGTTGATAAGCGAGGATGCAGAATAGTCGGTGGCACACTTGTGCGCGGACTTGGTGAGCAGGGCGGGCTTGGCAGGAGAAGCCATCATGGCTCATGAGCTTGGGGGTACGGAGAACCCTGGCTCACCCTCCTAGTAGACCCTGAACTTACCTTCGATTCTACACAACTGATCTGAACCTGAGCGAGGGATGTTTTTTCCTTGTCCGTCTCGTTGCTGGGCGTCAACGACGAAGCGCTGCCAATGCGCTGCGGGCTACGACTATGACTAGTGTGCGAGGAGGAGAAGCTTTGGGAACGAATTGCTGCTCATTCTGTTGCTAGTGCCTCCAACAAACACACATGACATCAAGTGTCGAGCGTCTAACCGGAACTTTCGACCCAAAGACACCTCCGAACAACTTCGCCGACACAACATGGATGAGCGAAAGTGTTGCATTGGCCGACTGAAATTGTGAAGGCATCTAAGCTCCGACAGACGGAACCAATTGCTTCGAATGGCGGGCACATAGACTCAGACAAAACTGTTTGTGCCTCCGTCGTAAAGCTCTGTCCGAATGCTAGCACCCAAGTCCGATACCTTGCGTCCCTACGCGAGACGATCTCGGTCGAGGGGCGATGGGAAGAAGCCGTTGATCTTGAGTTCCCTGCTGTAGCTGTCTGAGGGTGGGGATCGCTTCCGCCTCCAGGAGATTTGGCATGTAGAGTAAAGCGTGGATTTTGAGAGGTTCATGGCAGAGGGCTCCGAGCCTGGAGTCACGGAGACACTCTCCGGTTCATCCTGGTTTTGATCATCCCAACCCCAGAGCCCTACGACGCCCAGGGAGACAAGCTACTAGGGCTTGGCCAACAAGCTCACATGGAATGGAAGCTGTCTAGCTTCTATGACTTGACTCCTCCTTCTGACATATACCACGAAGCTGCAGCTTGATGTGGAGTACTTCTTCTTGTTACGGCCGGTGTTGGGTTGTGAGTTCGAAGGCAGGCCTTCATACCTGCACTGAAACAAGCTGCATCTGATTTTCTTGGATAGTAATGGCATTGCAATTTCACGTAACTACCATTGCAACGAGGAGTGCATGGCACGACTCTGACAGGAAAAGGTGGCGAGGCAAAATTGCGTGTATCAAAAGAGGAAGGATGCTCCAGACCTCCGGGACGAGGTTCCAGGCTTAGGCGTGGCTTGTCGGGTGCATTGTCCCCCACCACAAGCAGAAAGCTCACCGAACACATGTAGATCCTAGATTGTTCGAAAGGCGATGAGCCGAGGGTCGCCTTATCAAACTGTCGTGTCCTGGAAAAAGATCACTAACAGTAACAGCAGGCCAGTGCCGAAGGTCCCTGGCCAAACGAGTTTTCCTCCTGAGGCCTTGCCCTGCGACAACTGCTCGAAATCGGCAAAACCACACGGCCTCATCAGGCTCATCCTGGACTTCCGCTGAGGAAAGAAGTGCCTGCAACATCCCACGAAACCCGCGCATCCGCCAATGTGTAAACGGGTACCAAGACAAGCGTGTCGTGTCGAGGAGGTGAGCATGGGTCGCAAAAGCAAAAGGCAAACGGCTCAGGACATATCATGATAACCTGGGGCCATAGTGACTGTAGTAACAGTACGAATCTTGAAGACCGGGGTCAGTGTCTTTCGTCATGACATCAGCACCAGCACCAGCAGGAAGAGTATACACATCATCACCGCCACCATCACGAGAAGAAGCATCAGCAGCAGCTGCAGTGGATGTGACAGCTGTAGGTACAAGATCACTGTCATCAAATTGTGAAGCAGCGCTGGTGCTTTCTCCTAATCGGCTAAACAGTCACCATGCGCTGAGAACAGACATACCCGTCGTCACAGCACTTGCGATCTTCGTCATGCTGCCTCGAACATCCGCAACAACAAGCAATCGTAGTTAGAGTGCTCTTGTTGCAGGCGCTATACCTGAGAAATGTCAGTCCGAAACCAGTTGTCGAGCAAATCACGGTCCCAGGTGCTGCAGGGCAGGGGTCGCGACGATCATGGATGTTGGCTCTATGGCAACATCAACATCAGAAAACCTTCGCCACATCCAATCAAAACTGAACACAACGAGCCGCGAGCCCGGAGCACAAACAATGAATGCTTCGGACGATAGCGATGTATGGGTCCAACCAGACAGACGGGAATCTTCAAACTCCTGAATCCCGGAATACCAATACCAAAATCTGCGTTAAGCCCGGTTAATGGTCTTTATAATGCGTCATGCGACTTCTGGAGACATCGCACCATCTGCAGCCTCCTCTGCTTTGGATCAAGAGTACTCTGATTGTCTTTGCGGCGTCCGATGTTCTGAAGCTTTCCAAGGTTCTGGAGTTTCTTAGGTCCGATTTCTCAAGGCTTGCGGTCAAGCCCTCTGCGCTTCAGGACCGGCAGCTCCCGCCGGGACCCGAGACTGCAGACTCGGGACTCTAGACTCTAAATGTGATGTCATCAGGCTATACGGCTATGTATACGTTCTACGGCCTCAGGGGCATCACGACATAAGCTTGGAATCCACCTTGCTTGCTGGATTTGCTGCGCTTCTGAACTGGTTACCGACAGCTTCGAAATCGGAGAGTAAGCTTCGCCAATGTAAGCCCTCAATCTCGTTCAGAGCTTCGAGCCTGCAGGCTTAAAGTAGAAGCCAGAAAGTTGCAACATAATTCTCCTGGTACCCTTAAGGTAAAGTATAAGGGATCCTAGCACTAATCATCCTAAATCCATGTTCCAACTTTCTGGGTTCAATGTAATTAGGGTTTTCAGGATTGCAAAGACAGAACTTCGTGGTGCCTCAGCCCAGCTTGTTGATGAAACCCGGTTGAAGAAACCATCCAACGCCCCAGGCCGAAACCCCGAAAACTCGCACTCCATGTTCGAAGTGTTTTGCAGCGCTCCTGCGCCTTCTCTTTGGACGCTGCGCGGTTCTGTCAGGGCGACGAGATGAGAGACTTGAGACGAGATCCAGTAGGGGGAAGCTGAAGATCTTGCATTTGGTTGAGCCGGGTGTCACAGGCTTGAAGGCTCGAGTCGATCAGGAGCGGGACAGCAGATCACCATAGATCACCCTTGATTCGGCGGGAGCGAAAGCAGGGGAGCGCACGGATGCGGATACGCAGAAGCGACTGCTGAAAAAGGAAAGCGAAGTTCTGAACCCTGAACCTCCAGCCGCGCACGCCTCAAAAACCGACTCCAAATCCAAACCATCGACCAGTGAAGACGTCGGGCTTATGGCAAGCCCCTCACCAACAAGGCGGCTTAAGAACTCAAGCGTAGTGGTGTTCGTCAAGATCGTCCTCCAAACCTCCGAATCCAGTAGACGGCATCCAACGGAAGGAAAGGCCAACGGAACCTCCGTGAAGACCGAATCCCCGGTGAACTGGTGCCGCAGTCCAAGCCCGGACCTTCCGCAGGAAGGACGGCATGAGCCGGCTGGCGAAGGATGAGCTGGAGCTCGGCGCTGACGGAGCCACGGGCTCCACTGCTTTCCTGCCGACAGGCTCATGCCTAAACCCGGCTTGAAGCAAGCAGGTTTAGACTACTTGCTAAACGTGACCTGCCGTTCATGCGTTTCTCGGCTGGTGCCATGTGTTTTGGAAAGTGTTTTTGGCTGGAACGGAGATGAGGGTTCATACTTCTTTAGCGGCTCGCACAATTTCTCTCGTGAAGATTCGTACTTCATCTGGACATCACACACTGTGAGTCCCGAGAAGGATTGGACCCCTCGCTGTGCGCGTGTGAGGGTACGAATACAGCTTGCAGAGCTAACTCTCCGTGCACACCTGAACCTCCTCCTCCTCCTCCTACTACTACTACTACTACTACTACTATACCAACTATTACTACTACTATTACTACTACTACTACTACTACTACTGATACTATTTCTACTCCTACTTTCCCTGCTACCACTACCGCTACTACTGCTACGATAACTACACCTATAACTATATAACTACAATTACAACTATAATTGCTACTGCTACTGCGACGACGACTTCAAATACGACGATGACGACGACGACGACGACGACGACTACTACTACTACAGACTTCTGCCGGTGCAGCTGCCAGCTGCTCTCGGTTGAGCATGGTCAGAAGTGAGTCTGTAGGTAGCTGTCATTCACACACCAGAATACGCAAGATCGACGAAGTGGGGCACGTCGTGCCGACAGTAGTGTTTCGGGAAGTAGTACATGAGTGTTTCGCATATTTAGGAATCAGAGATGTCAGTACATGTGCTTCTGGAGTCTTTTGAGTATACTAGTTTGGCTCTGTAGCAGTAGCAGTAGTCGTAGTGGTAGCAGTAGCAGGAGCAGTAGCAGCGGCAGCAGCAGCAGCAGCAGGAGTAGGAGTAGGAGTAGGAGTAGGAGTAGGAGTAGGAGTAGGAGTAGGAGAAGGAGTAGGAGTAGGAGTAGCAGTAGCAGTAGCAGGAGCAGCAGCAGCAGCAGCAGCAGCAGCAGCAGCAGCAGCAGCAGCAGTAGTAGTAGTAGTAGTAGGAGTGATAGTAGTAGTAGTAGTAGAAGAAGAAGAAGTAGAAGAAGTAGAAGTAGAAGTGGTAGTACAGTAGTTGCAGTCGTGGAAGCAGTCGTAGTAGTAGTAGTAGTAGTAGTAGTAGTAGCAGTGGTAGTGGTAGTAGTAGTAGTAGTAGTAGTAGTAGTAGTAGTAGTAGTAGCAGGAGGAGGAGGAGGAGGACTAGCAGAAAAAACCAGTAGAAGTAGGAGTAGCCGTCGTCATAATGTGGATTGTAACGAGGAGGATGTGCAACCAGAAGTACCTACATCAGCCATCGAGAAAATATGGGGAGCAGAAGTGCAGCAGCAGCAGGAGGCGCGGCGTAGTAAATATGTACACTGCTACTGACAGACAGCAAACTCAACTAGTATCGCTTGTTCCGAGTTACTTTGCGAACTCTAGTGTCGCACTTTGCGGGCAAAGTGGCTGGGTGGAGCTTATGCTGCGCCCCGATTCTGGACGCTTCCTTTGCTGGCGAAGCATTGAAAGAGCTAACACCGACTGATTGGGCTGGGGCAACCGATCGGATTGCCCAACGCTCTCTCAGGGATAAACTGGCTGCCAAGGCTCTGTGTGGCGGAGCCTACACTCTTCCTTTGCTGCTCTGGCTGAGATGTGTTTCGAAGTCCAGTTGCTCGGACGTGTGTCGAGTTTCAATCGTGCACAAAACCTGCACAAAAGCAGCTTGGTTTTGCTTCCAGATCAAGACTACTAAGCGGGTGGAAGGGATTCCGGCAGTGCGCGGGCTCAACTCCGAAGTCTAAACTTGAAAACTCAGTCAACCGAGGTTCAGTAGGAGCCTGAGGAGAAAACAGGAAACTTGTGAAGGAGACTAAAATCGCCTTCAGCCCTCAACTGGAAACCATGGTGCTGTGTACCGCAAACGAATCAGCATGAACTGCAGAATTGAAATCTGAGGCAGCGTTTGCACACAGCTGGAGGAGGCGGACGAAGCTTCTTGTTGCTTCTGGCCCAACAGTGCTCGTCATGCACGTCAGGCAAGGACTATGATCAGGGCGAGACTGGCCATATTTGGACTCATCCCTGTGTGCATCATGTTTTTCTCGAAAAGCAGCAGACCTTTGAAGCTGTTTGAAGAAGGTTTAGCAGCCTCAGGGCGGCGAAAACTTATTTATGGGTTCTCAACTCCGAAGCCTTCAGCACGTTATGTGCGCCTGCGTGGACGTCAACAGGTGGGCCGGGTGCTGGCAAGGCACGTATTCGACACAGTATCTGGCGATGCCGACGCCGACGCCGACTCTTTATCTCGCTTCTCGGCAACAGTCCTTGTGGCTGCCAGAATGGCTTCGGGTTCAACCAGGCTCCGACGACAGAGTCGGTTGAGCAGCAGGCAAAGAGGATGGCGGGGCAGGCAAGTTTGCGCTAGTGGCTTCGTGCCTAGAGCAGCATGAACTGCCGGTAGGGCGAGGTTTTGGATCGAAGTTGAAGCTCATGAAACCGCCAATGCAAAAGCGAACGGAGAACATGCTTTCTCAAACTCATGCGAGCTGGGTTTAACCGGGCTCGCGCAATGCTGCCGGGTAGCTCGGTCGGCACCATGCTCGATGTGGACGCTATGGAATCCGAACCCGCAGGCCTTGCTAAGCCGGGCTGGGGCATTTCTCGAATCTGAGGCATCCTGGGCTATACTTCAGAAGTGAAAGCCGGAGACCCTTGTGCCGACAAGATGAAGGGTGGGGCAATCACGATGCAGCTCTGATCGGCATGGTCTCATGGTCTCGCCAAACGCTCTCAGTTTCTGCTTAGGCCGCTGCTCTTCAACGCAGCGCTGCGCTTCATCCAGCTTGGGCAGCCTACCGCCAAACATGCCTGGGAGAGAAAGCTTGCAAGAATTCGGGCTCAAGGTTTAGCCTGTAGTGCATGGTATGGGGAGCTTGGGGCTGTACACGTACATCGAATTCTGAGTCGTAGATGCAGCTGAGGAGACAGGAACCAATAAAAGCTCAATATCTGCCAGCTCGAAACCCATGTTCATCGTCAGAACCATGCATATTTAAATACGTGCGTTCTTAGCATTGCAAGTCTTGTGCTCACATGGCTGTAGCCTATTCGCCACATTGACAAAACTAGTGGCGTCACTGAACACATCTGACTGCTCTTGTCGAGGCCGGTGACTGGTAGTTGCGCTGGCGCCCACCATGCTCATCGACTTCTTCGGAGACATGGAGCCCATGGAGGCGGAGGCCTTCCAAGAAGAAACGGGTTCAGCGGTTTTTTCATGGGATCGGAAGCGGTAAGATCTGACCTGGCAGGGTCGTTCTTTTGGTGCCCTCAAGGACTGGCCCCTTCCGTGCAGTCCCATTCCGTCTTGAACCGTGCAGTCCCAAAGGCTACCAACGGAAACCGTTTCCGCAGAAACTGTCGGCCCGGAAAATAACCGGGTTCTTAAGATGTGACCGGGTTCGTGGTATTGGAGGAGCTAGGGGTATAAGTGTTCGATATACAAACTCCAAGGATATCCTTTGTCATTTGTCTACTTGAGGAAGGGCCTGGTCCAGGTTCTACCTGAAGGCCCAGGTTTTGGGGAGTCTATGGGTCTTCAAGGCTTGTATCATCAAGTTAGGTCACCTGATAGAAAGCATTTGTTGCGGGCTCACGGCTTGTTTGTGCTCCTAGTGCTTCCAGCCTCGGGTTGCCCAATTGAAACCTTTGAGGGGGCTGAGGCCCTGCGTTGCACTGCTTGGTTCTGCGTAATGGTGCGGGGTTGCCGGATCTCAATTAAGACGTTACCGAAGATAGACTCCTTTACTTGGGGGCTGGGATAACCAGGTGGGTGCTGGTATACATGGTTGATAGTTGGACTATTTCTTGGACGGTAGCTATGCAGCCGGTCAGTCAGTCAGGACAGTAATCACTCAAGCTGCTGGCTACTTAGTTCCTACTAGTTCGTCCGCATAATGCGTGGATTAGTTTGTTCGTTAGTTTCTTAAACAGCTATTCCGCTGGTTCGTGAGTTGGCTAGATGGAGGGAAGGAAGCAAAGCAAGGGAACAAGACATACTTGTCTAACCAAACAGGGAAAGACTGATTTGCATGACGGCATCATATGCCAGGGCCCCTATCCCGGCACCTCCCCATTCACGTTCAACGAGGTGGACAGAATGCACGGCATCACTTCCACCTTGACGGCCTCAACAGCAGGCAGCCCTACTGGCGGCCTGAAACTGCAAGGAGCTTCGTAAAGCCGGGGCTTCAGGCTACAAAGTCGAGATGTGAAAGGGCTCAACTATCGGAAACTTCTAGGAGGGTGTGGCGAGGGTGCCAGGCACTCTCGATTACGAGCCAAACCCAACATGACAAACCGCAAGCTTCACTGTAGAAACCTCGAAACAGCATCAGAACTGCCCCCAGCTTCGGAATCCGAGCTTTCGTGCATGTTGAAACAATGTATCATCGGAAGACACCGGGCCGCCGGACCTTCGACTTGGATCGAGCCTGTGCCATCTTGATCATGAGCTTCACCTTGAGTCTGCTCGAGTGCTGGGTCTGAGTCTTTCGGGTGGGGCCATCACTCTACTAAGCCGCGGCAGGTTTTCTTCAACACTTCTCTCTGAGCGATCCCCCAGTGTAATAGTTCTAGTGCTAAGGTGCAGAGGCGCACTGGCGAGACACTCCTAAGCAGCATTGCATACTACGGCCACCGAAGCAATGAACCGCAGACTTCTGCTCCTCATGCATTGACCGATACTTCTGCGTCGAAGTCCGGATTCTGAGGTCCTAGATGTTGTGCATTTTCTGCCAGAAGGCCGTCTTCATCTGACGTTCCACCTCTTTCGCGGACTCCTGCACGCCACGGTCGTAGAAACCGCATGGATGCTCTTCCCAGCTCGACAGCACGTAAGAACTACAGCATGCGCTCCAGGGGTGTCGGGGGCTGAAAAGCTGAACAAATCCAGGCTTAAGTGGAGAAGCTCCAACAAGCAGATGCATGTGAGAGTGGCTGAACTAGCTGTTGGCCTTCCGCTTCCAAACCTGCCGTGACGCAACACACCCCGCAGCAACCATCCTTGAGGATTCCTGTCCCTGACCGTATGCCCTGAGCCCAGATCCTGAAGCCTAAACCCGCCTGAACCCTCGCGGCGAATACTGACAGCCTTTGGACTTCGGCTCCAAAACTGAAAGGCTTTGGGTTGCTTTCGATGTTAGCTTGAAGATGCGAGGAGCCTCGCAGTTTTTAGAAGTCGAGGGCGTGGGATCCAAGCAGCCGGAGAAACCCCCAGACAAAGAGCCGACCTGTTCGCTGCATAGCCGCCTTGTCTACGCATCCCAAAAGTCCAGTTGTCTAGGCTCTGTGCCGGCTTCGAAGGTTCAACTGGGAAAATGCTCCTACATGTCCGAATCAAAACCCTTTGACGGCAGTCATACTGGTCGGAGTCGCCCTCGCACTGGTTGTGACCTGAAGATGTCTATAGAAACAGGGGTAGTTCGTTGCAGGATGTTTCTCGAATTCCGCCGCCTGTCAGCCAACGCAAGACGTTTGTGTCATCGACTCATTGATCCTCGCGAGTTGTAGATAATCAATATAGCTGCGCTCGGCGTAGTCGGACCAGGTCATCAACGGTGACACACAGCAACGTGACGGTGCTAGGAAAGCCTTCTTCAACATCACCATGGTGTTTGCCATCGTCATAGTCGCGATAGGTACGGGCACTGTTGTGGCACGTGGTGGTTGAAACAGTAGCCGCGGCGAGGGCAGCAGCAGCAACAGCAGCAGCGGGAGCAGGAGCAGGAGAAGGAGCAGGAGCAGGAGCAGTAGGTGGCAGTAGTTGTAGTAGTCGTAGTAGTAGTAGCAGTAGTAGTAGTAGTAATAGTCGTAGTAGTAGTAGTAGTAGTAGTAGTAGTAGTAGTAGTAGTAGTACAGCAGCAGCAGGAGAAGGAGGATGTATGCATGCATGCATGCATGTACGACGTAGTAGTCTGGTAGTGACGCGTGGTACTGGTAGTGCAGGTGATCATGCATTTGGATTTTGATTCTGTCCGGGACTGATGCTGACGAAATTCGCTAAAGCAGGAAAGGAGGAATAGTAAACAAAAACGCAGGCTCCTGGTCTAAGAATCATGTGCATGGGTTGTGGGTCTGCAGGCTCACCAAACAAAGCTGGCAACATTAGCCTGAACCCTATCTGCAAGGAACGCTAAACCCTACCCTAAAGGAAGGACCCCAAAGGCAACAGTCGAAGCGACCGCAAGTCCAGAAGGTGTCGAGCCCAAAACCCTCGAGAAGGGAGCTCCTCTCATCCCAGCTTACGGCGCGGAAGGGTTTAGGATTACCCAGAGGCTCCATATAGTACCATTATGGGATTAGGTCCCTGGAACCTTAATGAGGATGGTCATCTGGGACTTAATTCCATAATGGTACTATATGTGGAGCCTCTGGGTTACGGTAAGATAGGGGCCTTAACAATTAGAATAGGGTTTGGGGCCCACCATACTATCAATCTACTAAGGAACCCCCAAAATGCTATAGGCAATTATCTAAGCCTACATTACACCCCGGACCTTGAACCGTCAGACCCCTACTCTAAGGCTGTATAAGGCTCAACCACTATATTCTTATGTAGTATGGTCTTCAGGGCCAAAAGCCGTGAACTATGAGTCCTCAGAGCTCAAGGCTTACACCAACTCGGGCTTGAACCCTACACCCTAGGGTTTAGGGTTTAGGGTTTAGGGACCCTAGCGCAAAGCCCGGAAGCCCTTCAGCACTACTTGAGACGATGGGAGCCCCAAACCAAAAACATCAAAACCCTGAAACCCAAGGCCCTGAACCCTGAAACCCTTCCTGAAGCCCAAAGCCCTAGACCTACCCGGTGTTTAGGGTTTAGGGTTTAGGGTTTAGGGTTTAGGGTTACTTCCGAAATTTACAACACCCTCCAACTTAGACCCCTATAAAACGTTCGAGCTCCCCAACCCGGCCGTCACCAAGCAACTCCTGCTCGGAGCGGTTTGCAGCGAACACTGCACCACCCAATCCCAGGGCCTAGCGTCTGGGCTTAGGGCCTTGGGCTTTAGGGTTTAGGGTTTAGGGTTTAGGGTTTAGGGTTTAGGGTTTAGGGTTTAGGGCCTTGGGCTTTGCGGACTGGGGTTTGCTCAAAACATTAGACTTTCCTTCGAGTCGTCACACCTTTTGGGCTACCTTATCCCCTTATTAGGATCCCAAGACATGCAAAACGGTTCTCCAACAAAAGGTGCTGGAGTCTCCTGCTTCGTTACAGCGGCACCGTCGCGGTCTCATGGTTCAGGCTTTAGTAGGGTTTTTGAGTTTAGGGTTTAGGGTTTAGGGTTTAGGAACAGAACATAAGAGTATTTTTCTAACAACGTTGGAATACAGTCTGGCGAAAGCCGCGAGAAATAGGTTCCAGGAACAGGAATATATTATATGCGTATTCACCCTTGGGGTTAAAGGTTCAAGGGCCCGGTGCCAGGGCTCTATGCACCCAATACTGGGGCCTGGATACTTACCAACACTATTTTGGGTGGTCCTTATTGTAAGTGTAGTATAACATACCCCCAAAC